GGGGGGGGAACGATCACTGGGGTGATGTATACAATCTCAATACAGTTACAACCCTGCAGAGAACTGAACCCAAGACTTCAGCGATTACCAGACACGCATCCCATGTTCATGCAGTGAAGGGGAGTTTGCGGGTGACCGCACGCTGGAGAACAAGGAGGTTAATGGTACCCACCCAAAGGGAGGCTAAGGGCACCCACCCAAGAGGAGGCTAATGGTACTCAACCGAACAGGAGGCTAATGGTACCCACCCGAAGAGGAGGCTAAGGGCACCCACCCAAGAGAAGGCTAATGACACCCACCCATGAGGAGGCTAATGGTACTCAACCCAAGAGGAGGCTAATGGTACTCAACCCAAGAGGAGGCTAATGGTACCCACCCAAGAGGAGGCTAATGGCACCCACCCAAGAGGAGGCTAATGGCACCCACCCAAGAGGAGGCTAATGGCACCCACCCAAGAGGAGGCTAATGGCACCCACCCAAGAGGAGGCTAATGGCACCCACCCAAGAGGAGGCTAATGGTACCCACCCAAGAGGAGGCTAATGGCACCCACCCAAGAGGAGGCTAATGGTACCCACCCAAGAGGAGGCTAATGGCACCCACCCAAGAGGAGGCTAATGGTACCCACCCAAGAGGAGGCTAATGGTACCCACCCAAGAGGAGGCTAATGGTACCCACCCAAGAGGAGGCTAATGGTACCCACCCAAGAGGAGGCTAATGGTACCCACCCAAGAGGAGGCTAATGGTACCCACCCAAGAGGAGGCTAATGGTACCCACCCAAGAGGAGGCTAATGGTACCCACCCAAGAGGAGGCTAATGGTACCCACCCAAGAGGAGGCTAATGGTACCCACCCAAGAGGAGGCTAATGGTACCCACCCAAGAGGAGGCTAATGGTACCCACCCAAGAGGAGGCTAATGGTACCCACCCAAGAGGAGGCTAATGGTACCCACCCAAGAGGAGGCTAATGGCACCCACCCAAGAGGAGGCTAATGGCACCCACCCAAGAGGAGGCTAATGGCACCCACCCAAGAGGAGGCTAATGGCACCCACCCAAGAGGAGGCTAATGGCACCCACCCAAGAGGAGGCTAATGGTACCCACCCAAGAGGAGGCTAATGGCACCCACCCAAGAGGAGGCTAATGGTACCCACCCAAGAGGAGGCTAATGGCACCCACCCAAGAGGAGGCTAATGGGACCCACCCAAGAGGAGGCTAATGGCACCCACCCAAGAGGAGGCTAATGGTACCCACCCAAGAGGAGGCTAATGGCACCCACCCAAGAAGAGGCTAATGGCACCCACCCAAGAGGAGGCTAATGGCACCCACCCAAGAGGAGGTTAATGGTACCCACATAAGAGGAAGCTAATGGTACCCACCCAAGAGGAAGCTAATGGCACCCACCCAAGAGGAAGCTAATGGCACCCACCCAACAGTTGCCTAATCTGGAGCTGCCCATCTGATATCTAAGGGAAGTGACTTTATTAAGCACATTCAAAGCTACACAATGCACTGTCCAAGCAGAGATGACTGGTGGCCACCCAAGGCCTCCTTCCACCCCCAAATACTGAAAAGACAACTCTACCACCGACCTCATCAACACTGGTAATCCTAGAATGCTCAACTCCAGGTCTCCCCACCTCCAGGTGCTGGTTTCATACAGGTTTATCCTCACCAACCAAAATAATCCAAAGAGATACCTGCACCACACTCCGATATCCTCCATCCAACTTTCCACCTTAAAGAAGTCCTATCACCTGCCTGAGAGCCTACCGCTGACACGTTTCACCCTCCATTGGCCTAAACCCGACAGACTGAAGCGCCCCAGACGGAGGAGCTCCGGCAGGTGAACTCCTTGAACATAAAACCACTGAGTGGAGGATATTAGAGTGCAGTGCAGATATCTCAATGACTCTATTGCCAAGCGTTGCCCAAAATTCAATTTCTGACCGACGGGTTCCAGTCACAGTGATAAAAACTGCCTCGTTATTACCTCGTTATTACCAGCGAGCACACTGCGCGTCAGCTGGTCACGCACCGTTGCATGCTGCGGGCTTAACACATACCGCGTGGGGATGCAATGTCAGAGACGACGTCACTTCTCCTGCTCATACACAGATCTGGGTTAACCGATATCGATCGCCGTCATGTGGCTCCACAGCTCTTCACAACCCCAAACCCACCCCCCCCCCCCGTC